ATTAATCAGTTTCATTTTCTCATGCTTAACATTTCTTTCAATTAATTTTTTTTTTTTTTTTTGTACAAACTTATTTAATTCAAATCATAAATCTCATTAAGTATTTTGCGCCTTATTTTCTAAATTACAAATCATAAGCGGCGAGAAATCAAGTTCGAGATGTCTGGTGATAGTATGAATGCTTTGAATACTTGTAAGCAACTTGTTTGTCTACTCATGTGTAAGCGTTACATGCCTACGTACATACTTACATGGGAGAACAAATTCAAAAAAATCACGCTTATTACACTCATCTGTCATAAAATAGAAGACAAGTGTTGAAAATTATTTATAATAATAACTATGATACATATGCGCATGCGCAGATTACAAACTTTTGTTGTTTTGTTTATTCGAGAATCGTCTTTGTAAAGAGGCGAAGCCCTTATGGCGAAAGCATGAACAAATAATGAGAATATGGATGTTCTAGTCTACAAATATTTTAAATCTATAAAGCGATTTGAATGATTTTATTTGAATTTTCAAAATTTAAAGCACAAACCGGACTGTATTTTATTTACTATGTCAAACAGAAGTAAAAAAGACAAACTCGGACGAGCACTCGGTACTGGTTCCAAACACATATATATATGAAGTCCACAAATCGGTCAAAGAAGAAAGTCACGACTATTTTTTTTTTTGTATTTCAGCCATTTTTGGTAGGACTTTAGTGCCCATTACAATCAGCTGTCCCACCAAGTTTATTCGTGTTTCGTAATTTAATTTTTGAACTTTAATCAAGCGGATGGTGTGAAGTAAAAAGTGTGGTATAGGAGACATATATAATATATACATATATATATATATATATATATATATATACATATATTATACCAAATTGCGCCCATATTCAATTAGTACTGCTACCAGACCATGAGAATTGTATGTTTCAAGTTTTGTCTCGTGCTTTCTGAGATATATTTTTCTATATGAAAGTTCTTCGACGCCACATAATTTTTCGAAGGAATTAATTAATTATAATCTTGGTCAGAAGGAAACTTGACTACTGAACTTAAAAAATATTTCAATGCTATGTGAGGTCTTTCTTCCTGTTTTCCAACAAATTTTTGAAAACTTTTGGTAAGCACTCTTCGGTTCATTTTGTAGTTACCGTCTGACCCTTTTCCAGTGGAATAGCAGCTATGATTTTAGCTCGAGTGAAGTAAACTAACATTATTACTTTTGCTGCTGATTTTTGTTGTTTAGATTTTACGGGTGAGTTTGCTCTTGATGCTACATACCATGGACTGCTTTTTGGTTTCTGGATCGTATTTATAGAACCCTGATTTTTCACCAGTAATGACTTTAGCAAAGTCGCTAGACTGACCAATCTCGAATTTGTTCAGGAAAAATTGAGCAAAATGTACCCGAGCCTCTTTTCGGGCCTTATTTTAGATTCGTTGTACCCATCGAGCAGATTTTTTCGTGTATCCCAGATGATTACATACTATTCGTTAAACAGTCATGGCATTCAATTCCAAAGCATTAGCAATCAGTTCTTGCTACAATTTTGGAATTCACCAGAGCTACAGTGATGTCATCAGTGGAAGATTTTGATCAATTTTTTTGGGGGCTCGTCGTCTACGGAAAAGTGTCCGGTCTGAAACCTTCGTAATCACCTAGAAATAGTCTTTAGAGACGGTGCAATTGCTTCATATGTAATTTGGCATTTACGGAATATTTGTATTGGCTGTAAATTAAGACGAAACCCGAAGAGAATCACAAGGTGAATTTCTGTTTGCGTTGGTGGAGGAATTTCTTCTGACCTATTCTCAGCTATCTTGCGTTTTCTCGTCTCCCTTTTAGCCGATCGTTCTAAAATTTTAAAAAAGAATTTTAATCTTAACAAAACAGAAAAACAGCTTGGCTTTTTCTGAAAATGTCATATTATTCTTGGGAATACAAAAGCTGGTACAGACACAACATGCCAGAGCTTTTTTGCTTTTAAAGCTTCCGAAAAGTGATAAGATGATCAAAATTAATTTTTTGGAATATAAATTTATTTTGTTAAAATCTTGTTGGCCGAAACAAATGAGAACTAAATTAAGTTTAAGTTTATCGTAATGATGGAATAAATATGCCCATATTTCTATAACTTGAGACTGTAAAACAAGCTTTTCTCATAGAAAAACTTGGATCGTAATGCTTTTTTCAACTCTTATGCATTACTTATTTGTTTAATTAAAAAATATTAGTTGTTTTTTATTTGCATATGTATGTATTTCTTTAAAAAATTATTTATGATTTTTCTTCTTTTTTCGTCCACACCTTGAGCACCAAACACACAAAGTTATCGTTGAAAGTTACAAAGTAAAAGGTTTGTATTGGCAGACCAGTGTTATTGAAGCTGAAATATATGCTTACACAAGATTTTCATTTTAGAATTAATATTTAATTATATTATATTATTATATTATGTTTTAGCAGAATGGGGAATTCACCAATTTGTTTGCCTGTAGTGAGTAGTTAAGGTTAAATCGGGCGAAATCAGGCTTAAAGTGTAAGATATAAATAAAAAAAAATGTAACTCTATAACCTTTATATGCCGTTTCAATGAGTTCATTTGCTTATTCGTTTTTAATTAGTTTTTTGAAGTTATTTATAATAAAAAATTACATATACAGTGGGTTTTATAATTATTCATATTTATAAATAAAGTTTTTCAGTAGATTACTCGATGATTAGCTTCCTTCAGAGGTACAATCGATAAAATAAAATAAAAAATCGCCCAGAATTTAACTTTAAAAATTTTTATTTATTTTCAACCGAAGTCATTTTTAATAATCATTCAATATGCACAGCATATTGATCACCCTTCTTTCCAGAGTGTGCGGCAAAGGCTCAAAAGTCTTCTAACTGCATATAATTGCCACAAATATCGAAAGCTGGAGAAGAAAGCAAGAAATAGTTACAAAACGTGAAGAGTTTCTGGAGCTGGTCAACAGGGAAAATATTGAAAACTTCCACAAGCAATTTACAGTTGGCTTTAAAATAGAAACTTTTTTCTGCATAAGTTTGTGGAGGGCAAGAAAAATGCATCCCATAATTTCTGTCGATTTGCACTTGAGTACTCACCTAGTGTAATATTGATTGTCAAATATCTCTCTTCCGCTTTTTTTGTCTTTTGAATTTCGCGGCTATGTACAAAGCGCTACAGAGATCGTATCTGGCAACACTAGACATATATATATATATATACTTTGGATATTGCGTTCAACAATTATAAACGTGTAAACATGGAGTTCACTAACGACCGAATTTCGCGCTATTTTAAAGTTTTCCTTCGTTAAAGGCAAATCCGAATCTAGAGAAACGTTCCGTGAGATTAATGGTGTTTTGGGGGATGGTACTCAATCACTTCGAACCGCGGAGGAATGGTTTCGACGATTCAGAGCCGGTAAAAATGACACCATGGATAAGCCAGCCGGCGGAAGACCTGTGACGACAAATACCGATCAAATCATGGAATACATCGAGTTAGACCGGCATATGGCATCTCATGACATCGCCCAGGAGATGGCAGTTAGTCACCAAACCATTTTGAACCATCTGCAGAAGCCTGGATACAAAAAAAAGTTTGATGTTTGGGTGCCGCATAATTTGACGCAAAAAAACCTTCTGGACCGAATCAACGCCTGCGATATGCTGCTGAAACGGAACGAACTCGACCCATTCTTGAAGCGGATGGCGACTGGCGACGAAAAATGGATCACATACGACAATATCAAGCGAAAACGGTCGTGGTCGAATGCCGGTGAATCGTCCCAAACAGTGGTCAAGCCGGGATTGACGGCCAGGAAGGTTTTGCTGTGTGTTTGGTGAGATTGGAAGGGAATTATCCACTATGAGCTGCTCCCATATGGCCAGAAGCTTAATTCTACCATCTACTGCGTACAACTGGACCGCTTGAAGCAGGCGATCGACCAGAAGCGTCCAGAATTGGCCAAAAGGAAGAGTGTAGTGTTCCACCAGGACAACGCCAGACCACACACTTCGTTGATGACTCGTCCGAAGCTACGGGAGCTCGGATGGGAGGTTTTATCGCATCCACCATATAGCCCGGACGTAGCGTCAAGTGATTACCACTTGTTCCTGCCCATGGCGAATGCCCTTGGTGGTGTGAAGTTGAACTCAAAAGAGGCTTTTGAAAAGTGGCTGTCCGAATTCTTCACAAATAAGGAGGGGGGCTTCTACGAGGAAGGTATTATGAAGTTGCCGTCTAGATGGAAACAGATCATCGAACAAAACGGCGCATATTTTAGCTAAATCCGATCACTGTAACACTCTTTTTAAAGCATTGAATGAAGAGCAAAAAGGCGGAAGGGAGTTATTTGACAACATTATATATGAAGTGTAGTAAAACGAAAACTATTATTTTTCCAATGGTTATTTATCTGTATTTCACGTTGTATAAGTCCGATCGGATCGTACAACCTCAGTGTCGCTTTGAAGTTAAGCCCTCTCAAATGATCACCTCATCGCATGACTTGTAACTGCTAATTGGTCGGTCAGAAAATTTTGTTCGAAAGAAGTGGGGCAGGTCAGATTAATGATGAATCCTCTACCAGGTTGGGCTAACGCCGCTACTGATAGCGCACATCTGTATGATGCCTCTTCTTAGAGCACACTAATGTTTTACAAACATCTGCAAAAGAATTACTGCATGCTTCTTCTCAGTTATTCCCAGACATATTTTAATAGCTGAGCCATCGGCTTCCGGATAAATTTTAAAACCTTATTTTTACTTACTCTTTAACGAACACCACTCCCAAGAGAATATCAGAAGCCCAATCCTTTGATAATCAAAATGCAATATAAATTAAGTTGAGTCACCAGTCAACCAGGGTCACTTCACTTAAATGTAATATATTCTATTTGAACTACTATACAGCCATCGACCATGAAAGGTATTTACTTATTTCTTTTTTTGCTACTCTTATTATTATTTATTATTTGCTACTTTAACCATAAAATCCACCGAATGGTCGGCGTCGTCTTATAAATCGTCTGCCTCCAAAACCGCCACCACCACGTCGGCCAAAGCCACGTCCAAAGCCTGGTCCACCAAAGCCTGGTCCGCCAAAGCCTGGTCCACCAAAGCCTGGTCCACCAAAGCCTGGACCACCAAAACCGCCACCACCAAAGCCTGGACCACCAAAGCCAGGTCCAAAGCCTGGTCCGCCAAAGCCGAATTGTCGCACTAAACGTGGCTTCTCATCGCTATGCTCAACACCGGTGTCCACCGAAAGCAGCTCCGCAGCTTTACTTGCCGCATTCGACTCCTCGTCCGCCTTCGCAACAGCATTTGACGTCAGCAAAGTTATTGTACACAACAAAAAGATATACAAATACAAACGCATTTTAGTTTTGAACGAAATTACTCGCAACGTTTATGATTGCTGACGACAAATAGAATTATTCTGCAGAAGATTTTGACAATGAAGAGATTTTTATACCATTTTTGGATATTCAGCATAAAATGGTTGCATGTAGATTGTTCATATGTATATATACTTAGATGTTTTGGGGAAAAACATTAAAGTAAAGTTTAATTTTCTCATGCTTAACATTTCTTTCAATTAATTTTTTTTTGTTTTTTTCTTTTTTTTTGTTGTTTTTTCCAAACTCATTCAATTCAAATCATTAATCTCATTAAGTATTTTACGCCTTATTTATGTTGTGTGAGAATTTTTGTATGTATGAACTGTTATAAGTATGTAGATCGTTGAATTCTTGTAACGAACTAGTTTGTCCACTCATAAGTGAGCGTTATCTTCATACGTACATACTTAAAAGCAAAAGCGATTGTTACACTGGTCTGCCATGATATCGTCTATTTACAGGTCTATTTTGTTGAGGTAATAAAATTTAGCTTGGTTTTAAAATTTGCCATTCAGTAAATTTTGTTACCATTTCGTATTCTGAGCTCACTGTTACCCTGTAAATTTTGTTACCAGTGAAATAGGAGGTAACAAACAATCTAAACCGCAGTTTTGGTGTTGTTAATTTGAGAAAAAATGAAAAATAAAATTTATAGTCCTATTCTACATCTGGACAATAAAGATAAAGAAAATGGGCAAAAAGGCACACGTTAAGAAGTGAAAGAAGAAAAAAAAAAGAAAAGACTTACTTGCCGTTTATCTGAGGTTTCTGTAAAAAAATGTATTTCTTTTCCCACGGGTCATATTAGAAATGCTTTGGGAGCTATTGTCTAACTGCGATAAGCCAGTAAATAAATGATTTTCCAAAAATAAAAATAGAAACGTAAGATTTTTATATTCGAGCGTCGTTAATACAAAAAGACAAATTTCACATGGTGAAAGCACGTATATATATAGAGTTGACGCTTTGTAACCACTGAAGCGATTTTTCGACCGAAAGCACGTAAGTTCCATCAAAAAGTGAGGAACAGGTGGAAGCTCAAAATCACAAATCGGTAAAAATTAGAAGGTCTGTTGTATGAGGTTGTATTTAAATGTGTTTCTGGATCTATGTCAGCCATTATTTGGACTATATTGCCCATTATTGTAAGCATTCCTACCAAATTTAGTTGAGCTCTGTTAATTAAATCTCGATTGTGAATCAAGCGGGGGTGGGAAGTAATAAGTTCGTTATAGAGAAATTAGTGCCTATACTAGACCAAGAGGTTTATATGTATCAAGTTCTGTTCTGTGCTTTCTGTCAATACTTTTCGACTCAAAAGTGAGTGCCGCGCTTTTCCCCAATTTTTTCTACCTCTCATAATTTTCTTAAGAGATATACACATGTATATAACAAAATGAAAGGAAAGATTCATCACAAAAAGCTTTACTCCTGCACTTGCTCTATGACATAAAGTTTCAGCTCTTATAGACACTTTTTTTTTTAAAACCATGAACAAGGATGGCGCATACTTTTAATATCTCACTACGAAATTTCTTCAAATCTGGCTTTTGAAGTTACACAGAGCAATATGGCAATAGAAAAATTAATTTTTAGGCTCTAATTTAGATTTTTTGCTGAAAGCATCGATGCTGTTTCACCTTAGCAACCGGATATTATGGTTATTGCATAACGTTAATCCAGAAAATAGTCAGCTGGAATGTTTTTCGTATGGTATTTTGTATGAAGAAAAAAAAATCTAGAAAACAAATAGGAAATTTACAAAATATTGGATTGAAATAAACTCATATTTGTACAATTTTTGACTGTAAAATAAGCATTTCTCACGGTAAAAGTCAGATTATAATATATTTAAATTTTTTTTTATTCTTTAAATATTTATTTTTTTTTTATTATATTTATTTATATCTACAATTTTTTTAAATAAACCTATAACATATATAAAATCTAAAAATGGTACTTATTTTACTTCTAAAACTTAGGTTAAGACCTTTTAAAGTAACCTTATAAGTAAAATAAATTTAAAAAAATATAAATAAAAAGAAAAATAAATTTTGTATGCAGACCAGTGTTACTGAAGCTGGTTTATCAATGAATAAGGTGTTTTCAAACTATACAAATTTTACGTTCTAATACAGTGGGGGATTCACCAACGCGTATTCCTGTATACATACGTGGGGATTAACAAATGTTCGCTAAGTTTACCAGAAAAAAAAGGAAAAATTCTTTTTGTATTTATTCGTAATCTTCGTCCTTTTTTATCTTCTCTACATAATCGCCATTCATTTCTATGCATTTCTTCTGAAAATAGTCCTCAAAATCTGGTTTTTAAAGCTTAGAAAGCTCAACTTTAACTGCATTAATTATCTCCTCGTTGCTATTAAAGACCTTTCCTTTTACATTTTTTTCTTAATTTTTGGCATTTATCAGAAATCAAAAGGTGCTATATCCGGGGAATATGGTACTGGACGTCTTTCGCAATGAAACTAATCGTTATTTCAGCAATGTAGGATGGCGCGTCCTCATGATGTAAAAAGTAGCGCCGCAATCCTCTTTATTACTGTTTTCAACAATTAGGTACCTCATCATTACTTTTGCTGCTGATTTTTGTTGCTTAGATTTTACGGCTAAGTTTGCTTCTGTTGGGCTCCATACCATGGACAGCTGTTTGGTTGCTGCATCGTACTTATAGAACCAAGATTCGTCACCAGTAACGGCTTTAGTGAAGTTGCTAGACTGACCATTTTCGAATTTGTTTAGAAAAAGCTGAGCAAAAATACCCGAGCCTCTTTTTAGTCCTTATTTAAAATTCATGGTACCCATCGAGCAGATTTCTTCGTGTATCCCAGATGGTTACTTAATGTTCGCGATACAGCCATGGCATCCAAGGCCAATTCATTATTAATCATTTCTGGTGTCGTAAATTTTAGTCTTCTGACCACTCCTCAGCTATCTTGCGCTTTCTCGTCTACATTTCAGCCGATCGTTCTAATTGTTATTTTTATATTCAACAGAAGCAAATTAAAAGTCACCAACTGACCGAACTTTTGTTAACCCCCCCGCATGTATATACATATTCAGAAGTGGTATTGTTGAAATGAAACTTGGACGTCAGAAACAGACGCTGATGCATAATATTGCTGACAGATGTGAAAGCTATTTTTTTTTAGAAGCAAAGGTTATCCAAATAAGTATTTCTCCAATTCAGACACTAAAAATTCATTATTCTTGGACTTATAGTGACCCTCTTCGGTTGTAACATTATGGCCTGTTTCATTTTCATAGAAATATTGAGCAATGACCTTAAATGATCTCCTCCAAATTGCTCTTTACATTGTTAGAAACTGGTGCAAAGACAGCGGACTGGACGTCAATCCAGATAAAACCGAATTGGTTCTTCTTACCAGAAGGCACAAACCGACTACTTTTAAGCCACCTAAACTAAAAGGCATGGAGCTCACCCTCTCTACTGAGGTAAAGTATTCCGGCATAATTTTGGATAGCAAGCTTAACTGGAGCCGGAACGCGGCAACTGCAGTTTACTTCTGCAAAACGGTAAAATATGGGATCTAAGGTCGATTATCGTGCACTGGATTCTCCACGATAATCCCAAACAGGTGCGAATGGGAAACTACCAATACCCCCGACCAGAGAGCCATAGCCATCTTCACAGATGGATCGAAGCTTAATTAAAAAGTGGGTTGCGAAATTTATTCCCCCATGCTTTGATTGAATATTAGCATGAGATTACCAGACCTGTGTATTGTTTTCCAGGTGGAGCTCTTCGCCATTATGAAGAGTGATCATAGGTTGCATAAATATATGGCAGCAGGACAATCGGTTACAATATACTTCGATAGTCAAGCTGCAATCAGATCTCTCCAATGTAATGGCACCACTCCAAAAGTGGCCATAAATTGTAGGAACTTTCTCATTAAACCCTCAACGAAGAACTGCCGTGGTCTGGATACATCGACACAGGGACATCCCAGGCAATTGCATGGCAGACGCAAGGGAAAAAACCCTTCTACCCTCTACCCACGGCAAAGTATATGCTTAAACTGGCTTTTACCAGAGAAGCTGACTCAAGATGGTTGAACGAGATCGCGTGTAACGTGACCAACAGCTAAGGCCGAAGCAAGACACGAAAAAATCCAAACATCTTCTCCTTCTAGACCGGTTCTCCATTAGCAAAACGACGAGCATAATAACTAGACACTGTTTAATGGGGATACACGGGAAAAGAATGGGGTATTATTCTAATGATTTCTGCCGCAGCTGCAAGGACGAAAACGAGTAGGAGACCATCGAGCACTACCTCTGCCACTATCCAGCGTTGGCATCAGCGCGATACAAATTTCTTGGGAAACATTTCTTCGATTGCGACAGCGAATATTGAAAATCTCCTTGGCTTTATAAGGCACACGAAATGGTTCGATCATCTGGGAAGGTGAAGGCAGCAGAAACAGCCTTAAGTTGGTAGCAACAGCCGCCTCAATTCAACTCAACTTGTCTTAGGTATAGCTTGTGGACTATCATCGCTCCAAAGGCTATAATTTTGTTTATAAAAGTACCCAACAATTATACTAAAGACCAACTCTGAAAACTGATTTGATTCATTTCAAAGTAACTCTTTTTATAATAAGACAAAAACCGCTAAACACTTCTACAGAGCACATAAAATAAAGCAGATAAATTTGGCAATCAATGAACAGAACGCAATAATTTCGTAATAAATGAAAAAAATATCAAGAAATAACTTAAATAAACTTAATTTTATTCGCACTAATTTGCACTTATCGACAATAACAGGTTTATACATTTCCTCTTACTACACTAACCATAAAATCCACCAAATCGTCCACGTCTACCAAAACCACCACCACCAAAGCCTGGGCCACCGAAGCCTGGTCCACCAAAGCCTGGACCACCAAAGCCTGGACCACCGAAACCGCCGCCACCAAAGCCAGGTCCAAACCCGCCGCCACCAAAACCTGGGCCGCCACCAAAGCCTGGTCCACCAAAGCCGAATTGTCGCACTAAACGTGGCTTCTCATTGCTATGTTCAATACCGGTGTCCACTGAAAGCAGCTCCGCAGCTTTACTTGCCGCATTCGACTCCTCGTCCGCCTTCGCAACAGCATTTGATGTCAGCAAAGTTATTGTACACAACAAAAAGATATACAAATACAAACGCATTTTAGTTTTTAACGAAAATATTCGCAACGTTTATGATTACTGACGAAAAGTAGAATTATTCTGAAGAAAAATTTGGCAATGAAGAGATTTTTATACCATTTTTGGAGATTTAAAACAAGTAGTTTACATATACATATACATATACATATATATATATATATATGTATATTTCTAATGAAAAAATTATTGATCAGTTAAATTTTTCTTCTTTGATAGGCAACTTTTTTATCTACTTAATATACATATATGTATGAGTAAGCTTTGTTTACTTACATACTCGTGCATACTCATATCTGTACATGCATGCGAATATAAATTAAATTCACGCTTATTACACTGGTCTACAATGAAATCCGATATTATGCATAATTATGAAGGCTTAATTTGAGAAATTTTTCATTAATATCAAAAGTCCGGATTTTTGTTAAATAAACAAGATTTGCGGATAGTTTGCGCCAATCGATAAGTCATGAAGAGAATGTTTTCGGCGCTTCAAAAGTGGTCAGGCTAACCTTACTCGATCGAAGTTTTTGACATACCCAAACTGACCTCATTAAATGAGACTCAGTAATCATTTTCATATCGATTAAAGGGTTAAAAATGGCCAGAAACAACCGAAAAGTTAATTTTGTTTACGAACAAAACGGCGCATATTTGACTTAAATCGGACAAATGTACACAAAGTTAACATATTTTGAAAAATCAATGAGAACCCGAACAAATTTCTTACTTGACCTAATATATGCACACGCCAGGGGGGAAATCTGACAGAAAGAATGAAAGTGCCGATTATTAAAATAAAATTAAAATAAAAAAATTACACTAATACTCAATTGCTTTGCTCTTGCATACAGGGTTATCAATTTTGCGGTATCGAAAATCAACGTTTGTAAAATTCATTTGAATGATTTTTCATGAAATTCATTTTTTATTTTATATTGTAATTATAATTCAGCCAAGCTCCTCCTCCAATTTATGGTTTTGCGTCTTGATGTTTTTTCACCAAATGAACTGTAGGTTTATACTAAGCCGCCTCCGAACGGCTGTTGGATTTTTTATGAGGAGCTTTATTTTAGTTCATAAATACACTCGGAGGGGTAGACATTCCCTGTCGAGGGAATAATAACTTTTTAGATGTTAGTACCACACAAGCATTTGAATCCAATCTTTCCGAATGGGAGTTCGCAAAGTGAGTAACGTTCATTTTAATGTGAGTTAAGGGCTTATCCGGCTAAACACGGTTCTTCGCTTACCCTGCAGGGGAAAATACTAGATGTCAACTAGAATTCAACTAGTTTACATTTACATTTTCATACCAACTAGTTCATATTCATCCGTTTTACATGTTAGCAACTGGTATTTTTAATTTATGGTGCTTTATACTGGCTTAATACTAGTTCATTGAGGCATGTTGAATTTCTACTTCACCAAAAAAACAAACCAAATAAAATAAAACTCAGTTCGCCGGCTGCTAGAAACGTATGGAGACCCTCACGGACGAGAGTGAAGACCTTTAACCACCAGACCGTCGCTATGGTATATGGAGGAATGAAATCTGCACACTTCGACACAACTTTTTAGGAAATGAAACTCAGCTGTGTCATACTAAAAACAAAAACAACATAAAAATGACGTGGAAGTGAAAATTACTGTGTTACCAAAAATTAAAAAAATTAAATCGGGCACTTAAAGCGCTACAGAGATAAGCTCTAACCACCCGACTATCGTGACGATGCAACGATCATTGTCGTTTTGCACACTTCAATGGAACAGAGCAGAGAAAGGCATTCAGCCGAGGTCTGCCAATATAACAACAATATACAGTGGTGGAAATTGTTATTTCTCCGGTTACTGGTAGACTTCTCTACAAATAACGAACAGGTATGAGTTCATCTTCAACATATTAGTATTTAAGTAGTATATCACCAAGACGAGAGTTTACGCGGACTGCAAATTTTTCTCGCATTAAGGCCATATTCGCTCGTGTTGTGTGGCACTTGGCACCAGCTTGTTATACAAGTCACGTTCGTCAATTGCTGGCCAAAGAAAGTCGGTTATCATACAATCATAACGCTCCGAATTAAACTTGACAATATCGCCGCTGTCTTTATCAAAGAAGTAAGAGCCAATCACACCTCTACTTGTTGGGAGATCCATTTTCATATATGCCTGACTTTTATCTAAAACAAAACCTGTTTGGTTTGACAGTTAAGTTTGACATATGTCAAAATGCAGCATTGTGCTTTGGAAACCACGAAATGTATAACTCTATGCTTTAGTCTAATCAATAAAACCACTTCCAAATAAAATGAGGCAATTATCAAATTGTATTTACTTACAGTATTCCTATCGATTTTACTTGATCAGTGTATATTTTACAGTCGAGATAAGCGGAAGCTCAAGGAAATTAGTATTCTTATAAATAAAATGCATCAGCCGCGGTTTATATTATTTTTTAGCAGTGCTCTCTGCTTATGTTTTGCATATGAAGAAATAGACGAACTTTGCAATGGGTATTTATGAGTATTTCTATGATAATTAATTTATGATCCTCAATGTATTCAATCCCATATGTATGTATTGTATATCACCAGCAAAAAGGGGCCTGCAACTCAGTTTAAATTTAGTTTATTTGAATTCTTCATTGCTTGTTTGAAATACTTGAGATGGTGATAATATCGTGAGTGATTTGCTTTCAGTTGGAGTCAGATGAAGTGCTGGTCGACGGGATGTGTAAAAATCTCAGACAAATGTAATGGGAAGCGTGATTGTGCCGAGGGTAGCGATGAAACGAAATCTCTTTGTCAAACAGTGATCTGCACTGACAAAGAGTTTAAATGTGATTACGGCGCATGTGTGCCTGGTCAATCTAAGTGTAATGGTATAATGGAGTGTTGGGATGGCTCCGATGAAAGAGCAGAGATCTGCGACAACAGTAAGTTTGGGAGTGTATATAACAGAAATGTAAATGAATGTAAATGAATATAATTTTAACTGATTTTTATCGATACGTAACATAGCTCCATACTGTTCCATGTACTTTCTTCAGTATGTATGCATTTATCCGCTTATTTGTTATTCTCAACAACCTTACAATGGCTCACGAAAATTGATGGCAGACAACATTTTGAAAAATAGAACCAAAGAAAGCTCAGTAATACATTTTTATTGCTCAGAGGGTTATGCATTGGAGGGGGAGAGTAGCAGCGAATGTACGTCACAAGGTTGGACGAACACAGTGCCGAAATGCGGTAGGTCTTTTTATGCCTTTTATGTACATGACAAGGTATATTAATTTGGATCCGAAGTATGTTAGTACCGGAAGAAAAAGAGATTTATACCGCGATAATGTGAGTATGATGAGCTGATCTGTCGTTCTGTTTGTCTGTTTGGACGGAAACTGGTCCCTCAGTTTTTGAAATATTAGTAGACAGACAGACGAACTGACATTTGGCGTTACCGACCGGATCGCACCAATATAGCATATAAATGGTTTTAGAATAAGAGGTGTTATTTTCCCTGTTCCTTGCTATTCCTTTAGATGTCACTTTAGAAGCTGTAATTTTTTGACATTTGACCAGTAAGAACTACGCCAGTAATAAATATGGAACGACACACGCTTCAACAATGTATTAAAATTCACTATAAAAATAAACCATTTTTCGGACGTTGTGAAGCACCTTGTCGGATCGCAACACAGAAATTGGAGGAAAATTTTTAGCCATTGGGACAAGTTAGTGATGTAAAGAATAAAAGACGTTCACGCCACTCAAGAATAACTGATAATATTGCTGCTTTAGCCCTGTCCACTCCTCCTCATTCTTTGGAATTAAGCATTCCACAAACGTCATTAGGCATGTAAAACTCAGCTAATACAAGAACTCAAGACGGTCGATCATCAACAATGTCGCATTTTTGCGGACGGAATTTCTTTGAAAAATCTTCTTGACTGATGAGGTCCATCTCCATTTCTATGGCTACATCAATTTTGTAAAACTGTCGCCTCTGGGGATCGGAAAACTCCATCCTCAATGGGCAACTAAATATTTGATTCAATTTATGGTTCGGCGGGATCATTGGGTCTTACTTTTTCAAAAATGAGGCTGAAGCAACAGTTACGGTGAATGGATCATCCCATCGAGAGATTAGTATGGATTTTTTATGGCCCAAATTTGAAGGTATTGATCTGAACAACGTTAACTTTCAACAAGACGACGACGTTGCGAGCCACACAAGCAGTTGAAACCATTGACATTTTAAAGGAAAAGTTTACGGGCCGTGTTATTTCTCAAATAGGGGATCGAGATTATGATATTTGACACCTCGTGACTTCTTCTTTTGGAGCCACGTCAAAGATGAGGCCTTCGCCAGCAGGCCAATATCAATTTAGAACCTCAAAGTTGGAGTTCGTGAAGCAATCGAGGGCATACAGCAGCCACTTTCCGTTTTGGTGATAGAAAATTTCATAAAAATGTGCTGGGGCTGTAAGCGTAGCGGTGGCAACCATTTGGCTTATATTGTTTTCCATTATTAATGGTATGTCATTAGCCTCAAATGTGAAATTTGGCATTCTACACATGACCAACCGACCAACCAACCCACCAAAAAAGTTACAGAAAGGCTTTTGACTAAAAATCTTTTCAGCAGTATTTATATAACGACGTTTTCTTGTCGTTCTCCATTTACAGCAACACTTGTAAAACTTTACTTTCATTTTTAGTAATGGCATCACCTATACTAACGCTGGACGCTAACAATACCTACATGCCAGGCTCTAGCATCGCCATGACATGCGCCATACCGGCGAAACTAAAACCAACAATAACCTGGACGAAGGATAAGACACCCTTACTGGCGACTGATCGCTTAGAAATTACAAGTAAATGATTTGCTTTTCACTAGAAATATTTACACTTAATGCATATTTACACTAACAAACACATGTAGTTGAGCCGCACACGCTGGTGCTAAGCAATGTTACGGTCGAGGATTCCGGCACCTACAGTTGTATAGCCAAAATCTTTGGTAACGACCATGTGAATGAAAAGCGAGTCATTATTGAGTGTAAGTCGATTCATACTTTACAAACCACAATTTGTGTAAATACACACTTACATACTCTTTAACACTTTTTCATTCCTACACGTTGCTGTAACAGCGCACAAAGCGGATTGTATTGATAATAAATATTTCGCGAACTGTCAACTTATCGTTAGAGCTAACTACTGCTATCACCGTTACTACCAGAAGTTCTGCTGCAAATCGTGCAGTGAAAATGAAAAATTGCCGAAAGAGGTTCAGGTCGATCCCATCGGAGATGGTATAAGGAAACTTTAATGGAATAATAAAGTTTTATTACTTAAAACCTCTAAGCAAGAGAAGATATCCGAACTACAATTCATGTTAAGTGTCAGTAAGTTAAAAGTGAAGTCATTGTGGAATGAATAGAACACAATAAAGAATTAATAAATAATGAATTATTGTCTACCGCAATACTCTGAACAAAATTTTCTTTATCTTGAGATACACTCGGGGATACGTAAATAAGCCAAATCTTCGGCGTTGGGGCTGCGATATACTCAAATAATTAAGCAGTAGCATCGCTCTTTTGCACGGAGGTGTGATTGGATCTCACTTCTTTGAAAACGACAACGGCGAGACTGTCATTGTTAATTCGGAGCGTTATGGTAACCGACTCTTTTTTGGCCTGCAATTGGTAAATTCGACTTGAATAATATGTGTGCCACATGCGAGTGCATACAGCACGGCTTTATTGCAAGAAATTTTCCCGGCTGCGTAATCTCTCGTCTTGGCGATATCAATTGGCCACCGAGATCGTACGATTTGACATTGTGGGGGTTCTTTTTTTTTTTTTTTTTGTGGGGCTATGCAAAAGACCGCGTGTATGTGGATAAACCATTTGTCAAGTTATGGCTGAGTTACCACCCAATATGTGCCAAAAAGTGATCGAGAATTACCTCGGACGGAACGAAGTTTGCAAAAGTTCCCAAGGCGATATCCAAACATTTCATTTTTAGAAATTATTTGATACTTCTACATCGTTTCACTCGGCGTCAATTGAAGACACCAAATGTAAATGGTTTATTCTTCAACTGATCTTTTCAACGAAGGGGAGATTTTAGTCTTCTTCGGTTTCCATCAAAGTGCACTTCATCCGCTTAGAAATGGAGGCATTTTCAACCCTCCGGATAACCGGTCTATCCAGCGTAGCAGCTTTCTTTTAGTTAATACCAATAAAGCCGTATTTTTCATATAGTTTGACGTTTCACCATCTTCGCTATACCCGTCGCACTTATGCGCGCATTTTTTCACGTATCACGTTTCACTCTAGGGTTTAGGTGATGCCTTGCTTGTTGTCAGGTCCTAAACCTTCTCTTCCATCCTACCTCATCCAATCCTTGGCATCTCTCCAGTATTCTATTAAAAACCACCTCTGAAAGGCCGATAGATTTTTGAGTGTAGCTTTCATTTTATGTCAATAATTCACTCGGAGGGCTTAGCTTCTCAATTTGTCGCTCGAACCCTAGCTGTACGCAGTGCTAACCACTCGCTACACAAATTACAAAAAGAAAATATCAAAATTTTGATGTCTCACTTCTTCTTAGCCTTATTTGTTATTTTTGTATATCGTACTTCTTTATTGCCTGAAATTAGACGATTCATTGATTTCATTAAAAAAAATTTCGATTGAAAGAAACCGATCATGACTATGAATAAATTGGATGCCACACTGGACGATGTGCAGAATACGCGTTTCGGCAATATCTATCATGATCTGATCAAGCAAATGGCCAAGACGACACAATTTACGGAGAGCGAAGTTAGCAGCATTCTAATGGTATACCATAAATTTGTCTTGGCCAACGGTTCCAAAGCGAAACACATGACAAAGAAGCAATTCTTCCACCTCTTCTTGGTACTATTCAAGATTTTCGATTTACAAATAATCGAACGCATACTGCTGCATATCACGCTGGATATGAAAAAAGAGGTGGACGCTGTCGCATGGGTGCGACTCTTCTCCGTCTTCATGACCAATAAATTGGATCAGAAAATTAAATTCACTTTTCAAATTTACAATGTGCATGGCAATGGATTTCTGAATCGTGAAATTGTACAACATGCTGTGGAGAAATTCTTCGTCGGCGACGATGAGGACGAAGTTAATGAATTGCGTTCGGATATGGTTGATTTGTTGTTTAAAAAATTCGATGTTGATAAGGATGGTGTTATATCGTTCGACGACTATTCGCAGGTAGTGATGAAACAACCGATGCTTTTAGAGTTTTTGGGGCAATGCTTTCCGTCGATAATTGGTACAACGGTAATTGCGCTTTGTGCGAATATAATGTCGAAAGTCAATTTAGATAAACCATGTTTTTAGTTTATTTCGTAAATATACTCGCACATATATATTTTTATGACTTATTATATTTGAAATAAATTAATTAATGGAATTAATGATTTTTTTATTATTGCTTTTTTATTTATTGCTTACATTTTGAGTAAAGAATTAATTTCTTATTTTAATCTCTTACGAATACGAATTCCCATCGAGTTTATTGAACTTTTATGTATTACTTTTTGTTTATAAACAAAACCCCAGGCTAACTACTAGCGGCATTTCAAGTTATGCCTCTGTTCTGCCAGAAATAAGACTGGTTTGCTTTAAGAAGCTTTTATTGCGCAACAAATCTCTATTAAATCGAAAGCCACTTTCGGTCTATTTTCAGTTGTGAACCTGAAAAGTTCATTTTCATATGGCAAATTAAAACAGATTCCGCAGCTTTTGTCACCAGATCATGTTGACGAGTATACTCTTATTTTGGACAATTAGCTTAAAAGCTAATAAGCATCTTAAAAGCTAATCTTCGTGAAAGCAGCTCTGCTGTAAATGGACGCCGAACCCAGAATTGTTCCGATCGATTCCGTTCCGGAAAATTTGAATGTCGTCTAAAAGTCACCTGGCAAAGTAAGAATTCAAGCAAAAAGATAGCCGAAGGCATTAAGCATTACTCACAGTTAAATCACTACTCCGACCATATTTCCATTATCATTATTTTTGAGATATTGTTTATTAATGAAGACACGTTGCTCTAACGTGTAACGATCCATTTTTACTAAGCCTAAACTGTTAGCTGTCGATTTGCTGCAGTTAGCTGCAAATTTAAACATTGCGTTAATTTTGAGACACCCTGTACAAATAAACGTTGTAATCGAAAATTATAGCAATTGGAGGTTAGTTTAGGTTAGGTTAAGGTGGCTGATCCAGTGGGTATCACATGAATTTTGCCAGGCACATTAATTGCGACCAAACGGTGCACACTCCTATTGTGCCTCTAGTATGAAGAACATTACATTTATTTTCGCGAGTAGTCGTTCTTACCCCTTGGCCATTGTTGATTGGAGATCTTGTATGCATAGCCCTTGCCTTCCGAGAGTCGGACATTCACAGATTACGTGCTCCACTGGCTCTACACATTCCTTGCATTTCGTACATTTATTATCAGCAGTCAAAGCTATCTTAAACGCCTGAAATGCCAGAAGGCAATGGCTTGTTAATAGTCCTGGAATCCGGTCCTTTGACAGATAGTACAAACTTTGTGCGTTTCTGCAGCCCTTAGCTCGTTCCTAGAGTCTATTCACCTGACGAAGTAATGTTACTTCTTGCTTCTGCTTTACTTCCTTGAATGGAACTGAGAGGCTCAATACTGCGTCCTGTTCTAAATAGACACCGTCTTTAGCTATCTCATTACCTTTAATGCCCGTGTGGCCTTGCACCTATTAAAAGTACTGGAATCACTTCCATACGTAAGGTGACTACAGCTGACTTCATGCTGAATGAAATTAAGGCCTTTTTGGCCGCTTGACTATCTACAAATATATTTATTCCATTCCTTTCAAAACCGGCACATTGCAGTAACTCGGCCGTCATTTTATTGGAAAAATGGTTTTTTTGCTTATACGACTTCCTTAGCTCTAGTTGGGCGCAGTAAACTGACGCTCCCCTCGTTCTTTGTTCATTTTAGAACCACCTGTGAAAACGTGAAGAACTCTTTCTGCATATTTCAGATCTTTTGCGTTTATAGTAGCTGAAAACAGCTTCCGTAAATTCAGACGCTCAGAGGTAATGCTGCACTACTATGCTGTTAGGCCCTGGCCCTCAGCTGCCGGAAAGCATATAGCTTCGCAGCAGGTGGGAGTACTCTGTTTTTGGTTACCAGGTTTGCTGGAGGAATTCTCAAAATTGCATTTAGCGCTGCAGATGGTGTTGTTCTGAGCGTCTCAATGATGCTGCTCACCTAAAGTCCGAGTACTCTTTCCAGCCTATCAAGATATTAAAGCTCCGTAGAAAAGTTTTGGCTTAATAACAGCAAAAAAGACCCCGAGCTAGATTGGGACAGTGAGACTACAAGTGCAGCCCAATATCCTTTAACATGTATGTATAAAGGTTCGTTGATGCCTTTTTCACTCGTTCCTACACATTGAGTCTCCACGACTTTATCATATACTCGTGTACAGTGTGGAGCAAAATTGTCAACATCTTAAAACTATTCTTAAATTTTGCCGAGAACGGAAGGAATGGGCGGGACGAAAATTAACATGTACCATTCAGATGGTAAGACATATTTTTGGCAACGTCTCCAAGAAAAGCTTCAGTGTGGTGGCATATTGGTCGTTTGTTTGGAAAAGAAGGGGATGTACTCGTATCTGCATATTCTAAACTCACAGCTGTTTGACTTCGTGGACAAATGCGCCTTTCCAGCTAAGGAAATAATGCTCCAACAAGACGGAGATCCAAAACATATGGCGAAAATTGTTCAAGAAGGGCTCCAAGCCCAAACTTTTAAAACTCTTTAACGGCCAGCACAAAGCCACGATAGAAAATTTGGGAACATACGTTAAGCAGCAGCTGGCTAAGTACCAAAATTCACCTTTCAACATGGACGCACTCACTGTGGAATAATTTTTATCTATAAAACAACGGAACAATTGCACTAAAAATCTGAAGGTCTTGTGTTAAAATTTTTTAAAACCGATTTTTAAGACCAATCATAATTAAAAGCGTCCTCAGCGTCGAATAAATGTATTTTAATTTAAAAAATTTTTATATTATAAAAATTAATATTATTTTTTAATAAAAATTTATAATAGATTCATTAGCCGCCCCATTTTATGAATTTAGTGAGATACATAAGTTTTTGGGCTTTGAATTTTTTGGATGGTTAAATATAAATATAATACATGCATATGTTGGGAGTTGTATGGAGGACCATGGTTTAAACAAAACAGGCTACGCGTGTACCTTTTACATAGGCAAAAAATTGCCAAATCGGTGACAGCAGTGGCGTTACCAAAGAAAAAATTATTGTTTAATTTGTATTTTCATCTGTATAAAAAAGTTGTACTCATATTTGTATTATTTGGATCACATACATTTATACTTCTTAAAAGAAAAAATTACTTTTTTTTGGTAATATATACGTCAAGTTTCGCCCACTGTACGAGTCTATATAACGAAGTTGATTCGGTGAGGTCAACGGTTGTTGCCGATATTGACGGTAGGAAAAAAGTTACAATAAAATTGAGTCGTATTCAGTAAACATGTTACCAGTTTTGCAAATCGCACCCTTAAAACCAATTTGTTCAGGTTGTTTTGTTCAAAAATCCATCAAAGAAAAAGAGCATGTTCGTAAACATTTTACACACGTATGTTTATACGAGGTGTATTCAAAAAATATAGCGAATTTTTTGTTTTTTCAAAAATATTTTATTGATTCATGAATATCTATTTTGTCCCCTTCAAAGTAATCCCCATGAGATATTATACACTTGTGGCAACGGTTTTTCCAATCTTCGAAGCACTTCAAAAAATCATTTTTTTTTATCTTGTTCAGCTCCTCCTTCGATGCCGTTTTTATCTCGTCAAGCAAAGCGTAACGTCGTCCTTTCATGGGCCTCTACAGTTCAGGGAACAAGAAAAAGTCACAGGAGGTCAGATCTGGGGAATACGGTGGCTGCGGCATCATTGGTGTGTTGTTTATGGCCAAAAAGTCGCGCACAAGCAGCGATGTGTGAGCAAAGGCGTTATCGTGGTGCAAAAGCCACACTTGCTTCGCGCAAAGTGCGCATAACTTGCAGGTAATTTTCCTTATTGACCGTTCCACCCTGTGGCAAGAACTCGTGATGCACCACGCCCCTGCAATTAATTTTTTCGTCAGTTGTTGAAGCGCTCGGGCGTCCGGCACGCTCTTCGTCGTTCACATCTTCTCGGCCTTCTGAGAACATCTTGTACCACCGATAAACGTTGCTTCGGTCCAAAGTAGCTTCTCTGTATGCCACAGTCAACATTGGGAATGCATGCGCGCACTTAACTTCGGTTTTCACACAAAATTTGATACAGGTTCTTTGATCCATTTTTTTTTTAATAGTATAGGTAAAAATCGAAGACCGTCCAAAACACGTGCAAGCAAAGCAGCTGTCAACAATTAAGTGAACATTCAAAATGGCCGAGCTTGTCGGCATAAGTGACAGAAATGAGTACCAACATAACGCCACAAAAAAATCGACTATACGTAATCCGCGAAAATTCAAAATTCCCAATACTTTGAACACACCTCGTACATATAGATTGCCATTGAAAATCCTTGAAATTAGTTGACTACATTATATACATCCCATACAACCAATTTGTTCAGATAAGAAAATCAATATATTATCCTAGTAACTTAGTGATGGGCCGACTAATTTCACCAGAACTTGACACCACTTATTTTAGTCACCCGAAATTACTTAGCAGTGAGTAAGCGGCATTTTTTTCCTTACGTCTCAATATAGCACACACTATTGAGTATATTATGTGCTTTAATAATCTGTTCCTCCACATTGAGAGATAACCTTTCGCACACATTTTCAAATTCTTTTTAAAATAGTTCTGATTAGCATAATTTAGCTGAAATAAATTACAATACTTTTATGAAATGAAGTCTTCAAGTTTGTAAGAGATAAAGTAAATATTTATGAAACCTTCTGAACGGATTGATGTTTAACTCAGTTATGATTATATATAATTTATATATTTACACATATGTATATGTATGCTGGAATTTCCATATCAGCGCTTTCATACTAGAAATACCGCCCGGGCATAATTAAAAAATTAAATCTGTTGGCAAAAAAGCAATCCACCTCGAAAGGGTGGGAGAGATAAGCCAAAATTTTTAGCGTTCTCTCTGCTCAAGCTCAAGGAATGAGATTCTACAACAAATGAACACTTGTTGTGTTCTTGAAGTGACGTTAATTAATATTGAGTCACATAAGGTGTTAATACAAGCGCTCTAATTTATAAAGCAAATATTTTAAAATACACTTTTGTTTACCATCAATGAAAGATTTTTTATTTGTTTACTTTTTTTTACTTTTTAATTTGTTTACATTTTTTTTTTTAATTTGCTTACATTTTTTTTTAATTTTTCATATATATTTTTGGAGGCTGTATGAAACGCCACTATTTCGGAGCAATAAAATCCAAAGCTTCAGCTGATCGTCGTAATTTTGTTTTCGTTTTCACTGTAAAATTAAACATTTTTGTCGGCATCAATTTTCAGTGGAAAACATACATATCATCACAAAATATCACAAAAGATTATTCATCTAAGTAAATATTTATGGAAACAGAAGGTGTTAAATGAGTGCATTTGAGAGAGAATCAGGTGGCAATTACTATGATAAATATTTATAAACATTTACGTAGATATGTAAGTATGTTCGCTAGTGTTATAGGTGGGATTCACAATTTCTGAGCAAAATATATTTGGATTAGTAAATATTAATTCTAATCAAATTGTGCACTTATTAGACCGTATACAGCAAACATGTATGTTCAGACAAGCACATAGCTAATTGGCAATTAAAGTTCTTTCATAATCTTTTCTTTATCAATTAACTAATTGTCCATTAATAGTCAATTTATATTTATTTAAAAAAAAAAACACAAGCATGTCTTACGCAAAAAGAGCGCATTGGTATTTATTTTGCATCTGTAAAATGATTAGACATCGAAAACCTACAATCACAACAGACAGGCGAACGGTTTTCTGCTCGATTTACATTCAGCTCTCTGAGAGCTCTCATTAGCTACTCGGTAAAAGGGAACTATGAGGTGGCATACTAACATACCACCTTTATGGAAACGAATGATTTTCGGCAGTGCCGCAAAAATTGCTGGTACAATTAAATGTCCAGCTACAGTGGAGAGAAAAGAGGTTGCCTACCTTGCCTAGACACAGAGAGTTGAAGAGCAGCGCAAGACTTATTTGCAGATGAAAGAAAAACAGACTAAAATGCGTGAATAGAAGAGCTTGAGCCGAAGGTTTCAATACTGAAAGCTTAGAGGCCAAGGCACACTCATAAGGAACTATTGTGGAAATCTGATGACATAGCACCAGAACATACTCGCTGTATAGAAGGACCACTTCTTCAGTCTGCTGAATTACACTGGCTATAGTACCTGGAGGTGGTGAACCCAAAATTTTAATCGTTGATGTTTTTCTTTTGTTTTGTTTCTTTTGACTGTTTTCAAGTCGTTTTTTCTTCTCTCCACTTTGTGTACCGATTAGATTTTATATTAGTGTGCATATTTTTTTCTTTAATAAGCTTAAAATTCAATAAATATTTAAATTTGTGTCAAAAGCTCTAAAGATATTAGCATATTTTCGTATCATATTATATATTCGGTTTGTTTATTGAGACTGAAAGTCGAGTAGAGCTCAAGTTCGAGCAGAACAGAGCAGCTACCAAAAAAAAACAATAGAGGAAGTTAGAGCAACTCGGAGCAAAAAGCTCATGAAACTTTTTCGGAAAACAATTTTCAAATTCGAATGTTTGACTTTTCTGTTGTGAACAAAATAGGAATTTTTAAAATTTTTTCAGATATACATATGTACATAACTTAATAAAATTTATTATTTTTATTGTCACTTGTATTAAACTTATTTATTGTGGCCCGTAAACATCCCTTTCTTATATTTTTCCCACTTTCGTTTCCTAACCGCGTCTGTCAAAAAATCTTATTGCTTGCTCCAAGCTACTCTGCCAAAAAAATCAGAGCAGAAAATCGTGATCTGAGTTGCTCTATTTCTGCTTAGAGCAGACTCATGAAACAAAGAGTTGAGCAAATAAGAGAAAAAAAGTGTAATGGAACACAATTTTTTTGAGATAGAGATAATAATATCGAGATATAACGAATTATATTATTATTTTATTATTTGAAATAAAGTTGTTATACGTACATATAAAGGGTGTCCGTTAGATACCAACCTGTTTTCTTTCTTGCCGCGTTGCAGAGTGAGCGAGCGATAAATTTTCATTCGGTGCTCGAGGAACGGTGTTTGGTATCAACAGCACAAGTAACGCTACAATCGATCTGTGCACTGTGTTCGTCAAACGACCGCCTCTCAGCTGGTATTTGACTCCCTTAAACTATTTTTTGTGAGAAGCCGATAAGTATAAGTGCTGCGCCAACCATACAGAGACTAGATCAAGATATTTAAGTCACCATCGCAGCCACCAATGGTCACACCATCGAAAATGTGTTGAAAAGTTCGAATCTTAAGGCATTTTAATAAAAACATTTTTTCATAGTTTTTAATAACAATTTTAAAATGCATAATTTTCACAGCTCACCTGTCTTACTGCGAATTCTTTCCCATGAAAAATGTATAGCCTAAGAGCACCCGAAAGCTTGCCTGTGGACGTCACCATTTCATTTAAAATAGTTTTTAAAAAGGCCTCAAAGACTGACTGATACTTGCAATGGTCTAAACCTCTGCCGAACACCCCCAAACTCAAAGGGATTGAATTCTTATTTTATTTTTGGATTTGAAAGTATCTTGAGATATTTGTTTACAAGTATTTTTTAACAATAAAATAATAATTGAACGTGTTCAGCAAAAAATTTGACCAAAGCAACTACCCGGTAATGAGGTAGGTCATTTGAGAAATTATTCGGAATATAGAAACATAAACCTCATTTTTATAATTTTTGAGCTGCGAAGTCAAACTTTGAAGTTTCATAAAATGACATACTCGCAAATACATATGTCTGGCTGCAATGGGCTCATAGAGTAGTAAAAAATAATTTTTTTTCTTAATTTAATAAATACTTTTTGTGCTATATTTATTTTTAAAAACAATTGGAAAAACGCCGAAAGTGTTAATTGGTCTAAAATTTAAAAATTTTATTTATGGCAAAAAAAAAATTTTTAAATATTTAAATTAAATAAAAATTAAATCTAGCATCTAAATAGTTCCAAATATGTAGTACATATTTATCAGAGCACTTTTAATCCAGCAAAGTAAAGAATTGACCAAATTTTTCAAGCTTCTTCTCTTCTTGACTTTCAGTCTTAAAGTCCTCATACCAAACAATTAATTTCAGTTGCCTCAGCCTTTCGATTGGAGACAATGTTTTGAGGTATTCATTAAAGGCAATGTCGAAATCCTTAAACAAGGCAACAATTTTGTCTTCCATTTCGTTTTCGAGTTTAACCGAACCGTTATTTTCTAGCGCTATCTGTAGTGTTTGCCTCAGTTTAGAATTTTCAGGCATTCTTTCATAATCTGCCATCATATCTGTAAAGTTACCCATAAGCGTCAGAAGTTTTATAACACTTTCTTCATCGTCTTGTAATTCGAAGTCTGCAGCTTCTTTGCCGATTTTCGACATTCGCGTGATATTCGCTAGCAAGAGTTCATCCTTGTCGGGAATTGCCTTTAGGTCCTTCACGGCATTATTGACAACCACACTGCCCTTATCGAGACAGAATTTGGCAAATTTAGCAACTTCACCGAGAACATAAATGCCAAGTTGTTGTTTCCCATCAAATTCTTCAGTTGAGTCGCCGTTTCTTGCAAAAGCTGCACGTTTCACAAGGGGCAAGCTGTGTGCTAGCTATTGAAGATACACAAATTATTTGATTAATCTTTATTACAATAGAAAAAAAATGCGAATCAACAAACATACTTGCACTAAGAGCACGACACCAGCAAAAACAATTATTAATTTCTTCATTTTCAACTAAAATGGTTATAAATTGCTCGGGGAAAGGCTCAAATTGCACTGAATGGCTTTGCATTACAATTGCTTGTATGAAATTAGAAAAAGCTTTCAAATTAAAAAAAAAATAATTTTTACTATTTACATAGAAATCAGTTTTGTAAATTTATGGAGATAAGGCAATATTCGATTCCCATCGCAAAGCACTGAAAAGAAATAGTTTTTTAGTGATTGAGGAAGAGCTTTAGATGTTTTTTACATACATGCAGTTTTTTATATATTCAATAAAATAAATTGAAGATAACGTTATTCCCAAATTTTTTTGAGATGTAGACTAAATTAAATTTTGAAAATTTAATGTACATTTGCTTTAACGAATTCATTTACTCAGAGCTATCGATTCATCTTCCCGAGTAAGATTCAAAATAAATCAATCAATGCAGTAGTTAAAGTAGCTTCCATCCATATTTGGCAAGAATTCTGTTAAAATTTTGTGTGAGTTTCAAAGAAGTTGGCATATCATCCGTTCCCAGCCTATTGCTTCTGAAGATATGCAGTACAATAGAATTTTCTATATTCTATCCCTAAGGGGGTAGCCACAATTGCCGACTGAGTAAATGTATTTACTACCAATCGGTTAGCTAGGGTTCCACGACTCGGTTCTTTAAAAGATTGTAGGGTGATTTTTTAGCTATTATCTTTTTAGCAATACTGGTTTTTTGTCACTGTCAAACACTTTTATTATCAAAATGCTTGCTCTGTTAAGAAAGTTCATCGCGCTCTTCGAAGCTCATTTTTGGCTTACTGGATGCATAAATAAGCAGAATAGTCGATTTTGGAGTGGAGATCAGCCAGAAGCATTGCAAGAGCTACTAATGCATCCAGAAAAAGTCACAGTTTTGTGGGGTTTTTGTGCTGGTGGCATCATTGGACCGCCTTGTTCTTCAAAATTGATGCGAATCGTAATGTAATTGTGAATGGTTAGCGCTACCGTGAGATGATATCAAACTTTTTTTTACCCAAAATGCAAGAGCTGGACTTGCATGACATGTAGTTTCAACAAGATGGTGCTACATGCTACACAGCACGCGCAACAATGGACTTATTGAAAGGCGAGTTCGGTGAACATTTTATTTCACGTTCGGGACCGGTCAATTGGCCGCCTTTAACGGGCTATGTTAAGTCTAATGTCCATACAGAAAATTGACGCGTTGGAGGACAACATTGAAGCATTTATTCGTGAGATACTGGCCGATATATTGAAAAGAATATGCCAAGTTCGACTAAGCGGATGGACCATTTGCGCTGCTGTACCGGCCATCATTTGCATTAAATAATCTTTTTTGGAAAACTTTCCTTTAGCCCTTAAAAAATTACCCTTTACTTTCTCTGTTTCAATCTATAGAACTGATCGTATAACTTTCTTTTTATAATTTTGGGTAATGAAGTCCTATGATAACGAGTCAACTTCTCGAAAACCCCCCTTTTGAAATTGACAAAAAGGTGAGGTGTGTCGATCTTTTTCTCACGCATATTTTCCGAGATTTGGCATATGGTTAATATCTGGTCAGTTGTAGATCTGCTAGATCTGCGGCAGTGTTGATAAGCTTCAATCAGTTTGTTGACTATAAGTTTTAGTCTTTCAAACTGTACGCTCCATTGGACCTTATATGTGATATTGAGCCTCACCAATAACTGGCGCAGATTGTGGGATCTCCCTTTATGTGGATTGGGTAAAGTCAAGTCAGTTTCCAATCATCAGGCAAGCTTTCGTTCGACCTTCTTCTACAAAGAAGCTGATACACACTTTCGACAATTCTTCGCCGCCATATTTAAACAGGCCAATGGCTTTACGATTTTCTTTCAAATCGGGCGATGAAATTTTGTTCCATCGTCAACAGTTGGATAATGGAGCACGCCGTTTTCTGGTGTTTTATTTTCATATACGTACATATATTCAGCAGGCTTGAGATATGTTCCCTCTTTATACGAATTAGGTTCGGGACATTGTTCATTTTCAGGCAGTTAAGAATGAACTGTAGGTGCATTTGTTGCAAAAAGCTCAAACTGCGCCCAGCCAAAAAACCCTGCAGCGGTTACAAAGTGACTTTTATATTGATATTCAAAGAAAAATATCAATTTTTATGATAAATAATCGGATGTACATATATTTTATATGCCATAAATATGGAAAGGCTTTTCAACCATAAGTCTAGGATTTTCCAAGACTCAGATGCACATAAGTCTCAGGAAGTAAACACCAAAGTCAGGATAGAGTTAACAGATTTTCTTTTTTAATTGTAACCAATACAACGTCCCGAAGTAAACAGGATTTAAAAAAAAGAAATGGTTTTATCGGCCAAATTAATTAATTTTATTCAAAATAGTCTCCTTCTGCTTTAATGCAGCTTTTCTGCACGGTCCAAAGGCATGTCGAGCGAGTGTTTTAGCTTGTTGCCCGGTATGGCCGCCAGTATGCCGGTGCAAGCCTTTTGAATAGCCTACACGTCTTCATAATCCTTTCCTTTCGTCGACAAATGCATTTTTCCGAAAAGGTAGAACAAGCACGGTGCCATGTCAGGTGAACACGGGGAGTGGTTGATTGTTAAAATGTGATTTTTGGTCTTTTTTTTGCCTCTTTAATGATGTCCTTCGAATGTTGAATTCTGAGCAATTTTTGGCCGTCAATCAATTGGCACGGACACCTTTTGTAAGCAAAATGTTCGGTCAAAATGCGATACATCGATGTGTTGGAGATGTTCAATTCTATGTCCATGAATTTTAATAATTTTTAATTAATTTTTAATTTTTTATGAATTCACGCACAGTTTCGATGGAATTTTCGGTGATCACAGATTTTGGTTGGTCCACATGCTCATCGTCATTTATGTCCTCACGACCACTTTGAAAACGTTGAAACCACACATGCACTCTGCTACGGGATAGGCAATCATCGCCATTAAATTGTTTCATCAATTGACATGTTTCGGTAAAAGTTTTATCTATTTTGAAACAAAATTTAATGTTGGCTCTTTGTTCGAAGCTCACTTTCACACCGATTACAAAAACAAACTGACACTTAGAACGCAATACATGAAATGTCAATGAAATTTTTACTAGAAGTCGATTAAGGATAGCAAATTCTAACGCACTAGTCGACATATAGATGGCGCCACAAGAGGGCGCTAGATTCAAAAAGTCCTGTTTACTTTGGAACGTACCTTGTATATAATTGATTTATGATTTTTAAAATGAGTTTGGTACTCATGCGAAAGTAAAAATAACTTACGACTTAAATCATTCATTTTGTAGTAAAAAGAGGTATATGTAAATCTACTATATATGTATATATGTATACCGTGTATTTATGATCTGCACAACTTTAGTTTCTTTGGGGAATTTCGGATATTAAAGCGATTCTCTTACATTTCGCCAATGCCAGTTCTCTTTTGTTATACATACGTGCATTACATACATACAACTATGTACATATGCATTTATCTGTTACATATTATTACGAACTGACTTAATTTGCCTAAGCTCGGAAATTATTTGAATATCATTTCAGTTTTATTTCCGTTTTCTCAACGACTCATGTCACATATTTACCCATCCATTGCCATTTGTTTCTACAACTACATTTCTCTCTCCCTTTCATTTCTTGCTGTTTCGGCTTTTGCGCCACAAATCGCACAAATAAATGTAATATTATAAAGGTAAACAAAAATCGCCTATGGTTTGCGAATCGTGATGAAATTTCATTATAAAAGCAATAAACGTCGCTGGCAACCTCTATAGTCGAGCATCGGCAACCGGCGTAAGAGCAACCGAACGTTTGAGATTAACTGTATTTCACAGCAGCCCGCTAATTAGAAAGAAAAATACAAAAGGTGTTAAATATTTATTCAAAATGCGTCGTATTTCTATCGTTTTCTTAGCCTTACTGGCTTACTGCAGTGCTTACCCCGTAGAGGAAACACCAGACGTCGCTTTACAAGTGCCCGAGAGTGCGTCGCAAGTACCTGAAACTGCTGTTGCGGATGCGACCGCGAACGCTGAAGTTGTGGTGTTGGAAGCTGAGAAAAATGCAGCAGCACCGGAATCTGATACAGAGCCATCAAATGCCGAGCAACTGTTGGAAGTGGATACTGGGGTACCAGCAAGCCCTGAATTGGTAAGGGAGGCGCGTCAATTCATTGGCTTCGGCGGTTATCCTGGCTACGGTGGTTATGGACGATATCCCGGTTATGGTGGATTCGGCGGTTTTTCTGGCTACGGTGGTTATGGCTATGGACGCTATCCCGGTTATGGCGGCTACGGCGGTTTTGGACGTTTTCCATATGGATACCTTGGTTAAGATGTATTGTATGTGCGTTAGGACTGCGCTGCTTTAAGTGCCTCAAATGTGATAAAAGCTTTAAAAATGTGTGTGTCGATAAAAAAAAACAAATATTATCAAAAAATTAATTTATTTAAATTATTTAAAAATAAAAAGGTGTGAAAATTAACAACATTGCATATTAATGACTTTCTTAAAATATATAAATAAAAAATAAATAAAGTGAAGGAACGGAAAATTTTCGAATATAAGAGACTGAGTTCACCGAAAAGTAGAAATTAAGAGAGCTGTTAAAAGGGAAGAGAGAGTCCCGATAGGAATGCTAATAGATTTGGCCTTACTAATGACAGCTTACGAATAGCAAGAAACAACACCACTACAGGAGAAAATTCCGGCATTATTTAAAGAAGATGAACTCAAATAACACACTGTACTCTAAATATTAAAAAATTAATAAATCTAAAAAGATCTCGATTCGTTATGGAGCACAACTTATTCTAGCCAGCCACCTACTGATCGTTCCGGAACAATTATTTCCGTATTCCATTCCCGTTTGCAACTGCAGCAAACGTTATTATACATAGGACAGACCCGTTTTAAGTTCATGCTCGCCAATCTATTTGTAAGTGCTTAGCCCTAGTCTTGTTCCTGTTCTGTCTATTCCGATCAATTTGCTCGAATTACAAATGAAACTCGTCAGCTATTTGTTACCGAAAATGCACCCATAGCCGGGAGCTTAGACTGTGGATAAGTCGAGTTGACCTACAGGCTAGCACTCCTAAAGTGTTTCCATAAAAAATAGAATAGCGGCGGAGAAGGAAGCAATTTGAATCTTCAAGATTGTAATTTCTGGGTCACTTGAAATAGCAGCTAACTTGACTGAGGGATAAGGAGTCTGAGTAAACTCGGAAAAATCCAACACGGGGAGTGGTTGATTGTTAAAATGTGATTTTTGGTCTTTTTTTTGCCTCTTTAATGATGTCCTTCGAATGTTGAATTCTGAGCAATTTTTGGCCGTCAATCAATTGGCACGGACACCTTTTGTAAGCAAAATGTTCGGTCAAAATGCGATACATCGATGTGTTGGAGATGTTCAATTCTATGTCCATGAATTTTAATAATTTTTAATTAATTTTTAATTTTTTATGAATTCACGCACAGTTTCGATGGAATTTTCGGTGATCACAGATTTTGGTTGGTCCACATGCTCATCGTCATTTATGTCCTCACGACCACTTTGAAAACGTTGAAACCACACATGCACTCTGCTACGGGATAGGCAATCATCGCCATTAAATTGTTTCATCAATTGACATGTTTCGGTAAAAGTTTTATCTATTTTGAAACAAAATTTAATGTTGGCTCTTTGTTCGAAGCTCACTTTCACACCGATTACAAAAACAAACTGACACTTAGAACGCAATACATGAAATGTCAATGAAATTTTTACTAGAAGTCGATTAAGGATAGCAAATTCTAACGCACTAGTCGACATATAGATGGCGCCACAAGAGGGCGCTAGATTCAAAAAGTCCTGTTTACTTTGGAACGTACCTTGTATATAATTGATTTATGATTTTTAAAATGAGTTTGGTACTCATGCGAAAGTAAAAATAACTTACGACTTAAATCATTCATTTTGTAGTAAAAAGAGGTATATGTAAATCTACTATATATGTATATATGTATACCGTGTATTTATGATCTGCACAACTTTAGTTTCTTTGGGGAATTTCGGATATTAAAGCGATTCTCTTACATTTCGCCAATGCCAGTTCTCTTTTGTTATACATACGTGCATTACATACATACAACTATGTACATATGCATTTATCTGTTACATATTATTACGAACTGACTTAATTTGCCTAAGCTCGGAAATTATTTGAATATCATTTCAGTTTTATTTCCGTTTTCTCAACGACTCATGTCACATATTTACCCATCCATTGCCATTTGTTTCTACAACTTCATTTCTCTCTCGGCTGTTTCGGCTTTTGCGCCACAAATCGCACAAATAAATGTAATATTATAAAGGTAAACAAAAATCGCCTATGGTTTGCGAATCGTGATGAAATTTCATTATAAAAGCAATAAACGTCGCTGGCAACCTCTATAGTCGAGCATCGGCAACCGGCGTAAGAGCAACCGAACGTTTGAGATTAACTGTATTTCACAGCAGCCCGCTAATTAGAAAGAAAAATACAAAAGGTGTTAAATATTTATTCAAAATGCGTCGTATTTCTATCGTTTTCTTAGCCTTACTGGCTTACTGCAGTGCTTACCCCGTAGAGGAAACACCAGACGTCGCTTTACAAGTGCCCGAGAGTGCGTCGCAAGTACCTGAAACTGCTGTTGCGGATGAGACCGCGAACGCTGAGGTTGTGGTGTTGGAAGCTGAGAAAAATGCAGCAGCACCGGAATCTGATACAGAGCCATCAAATGCCGAGCAACTGTTGGAAGTGGATACTGGGGTACCAGCAAGCCCTGAATTGGTAAGGGAGGCGCGTCAATTCATTGGCTTCGGCGGTTATCCTGGCTACGGTGGTTATGGACGATATCCCGGTTATGGTGGATTCGGCGGTTTTTCTGGCTACGGTGGTTATGGCTATGGACGCTATCCCGGTTATGGCGGCTACGGCGGTTTTGGACGTTTTCCATATGGATACCTTGGTTAAGATGTATTGTATGTGCGTTAGGACTGCGCTGCTTTAAGTGCCTCATATGTGATAAAAGCTTTACAATTGTGTGTGTCGATAAAAAAAAAAAACAAATATTATCAAACAATTAATTTATTTAAATTATTTAAAAATAAAAAGGTGTGAAAATTAACAACATTGCATATTAATGACTTTCTTAAAATATATAAATAAAAAATAAATAAAGTGAAGGAACGGAAAATTTTCGAATATAAGAGACTGAGTTCACCGAAAAGTAGAAATTAAGAGAGCTGTTAAAAGGGAAGAGAGAGTCCCGATAGGAATGCTAATAGATTTGGCCTTACTAATGACAGCTTACGAATAGCAAGAAACAACACCACTACAGGAGAAAATTCCGGCATTATTTAAAGAAGATGAACTCAAATAACACACTGTACTCTAAATATTAAAAAATTAATAAATCTAAAAAGATCTCGATTCGTTATGGAGCACAACTTATTCTAGCCAGCCACCTACTGATCGTTCCGGAACAATTATTTCCGTATTCCATTCCCGTTTGCAACTGCAGCAAACGTTATTATACATAGGACAGACCCGTTTTAAGTTCATGCTCGCCAATCTATTTGTAAGTTCTTAGCTCTTGTCTTGTTCCTGTTCTGTCTATTCCGATCAATTTGCTCGAATTACAAATGAAACTCGTCAGCTATTTGTTACCGAAAATGCACCCATAGCCGGGAGCTTAGACTGTGGATAAGTCGAGTTGACCTACAGGCTAGCACTCCTAAAGTGTTTCCATAAAAAATAGAATAGCGGCGGAGAAGGAAGCAATTTGAATCTTCAAGATTGTAATTTCTGGGTCACTTGAAATAGCAGCTAACTTGACTGAGGGATAAGGAGTCTGAGTAAACTCGGAAAAATCCAAGGCTTGCCTCATTACTAGAAAGACGAAAGTTCATCAACATAAGCCACCATCTTTAAGAAGTAACATTATTATTCCCTTCAACTCTATTAAGTATCTCGGTGTAATTCGTAATTTTGAAAGCAGGGCCAATAAATCACTCCGAACGAGGAATACTTTGTTTAGAAGGTGCTATCAGGGCTGTCTCAGCAAATTTTCTACGCCGTTGAGTCCAATCCCCAAATTGTTAAGGACATTTTGGCGAAACGAGAAATGAAAGCCTCTTACCAAGTAGAGCCCACCTACTCCTTTTCCCTGGTAGGGGCCAATGGAAGGAATTCAGACCCATCGGTAGAAATGTAGACATCTAAACTGTTAGTCTAAAACGTAAGCCTGACCTAGAAACAGGGTTTTTCTGTGGTTACACCAAGAAACAAGGTAGTTTCGAACCCAATGACTATCTGCAGGCTTGGAGATTGTGGGTATTACTGAAGGTGTCAAATTTGCTTCAATGGGTAAACCTATCCGAATATCACTTGGGTCCCACATCCCACCGATGTAATAGGCAATTATTAGGCGACACAGCCGTGCCTGTCATCATCGACTGCATCAGAACCTTCAGCGCCGTCAAATTTTGTTTACAGCAACGGACGATGATAACATCTCTATAAGCTAAGTAAAGTAGAATCGGCGGTGGACAGAGCATGCACATACTACGACGCAACGCTGAAGCACTACCTTTGCGAGTGACCGACTCTTAGCCGATTGAGACGTCATAACTTTCACCATGCTCTCAGCACCAAACTCACCGAGGTGGATACGCATAAATGGAAGAAACTTAAAGAGTTTATAATAACACCGAGCGAACTTTTCGCAGACACTTATTTGGGATACACGGTCGGTGTGGTCGAATCCTCAACCTCCCTCTTTCAACTTGCTTACTCACTTTACTGGTGAGTTTATAACACCCTTTTTCTCACTGCTTGGCGCCAGATACCAAGTAGAGCCAGACCCCTCTCTATCTGGTGGCTATTACATCGAAATCTTTCAAAACTGGAGTATTCGTATCCATCCGGGCCACAGAACCTAGCCAGCGTAGCCGCTGATTCTTGATTCACTGATCTATGTCTATGTCGCCGTATATCCTATACAACTCATCATTCCATCGGCTGCGGTATACACCGTTACCAACTCGTAGAGGACCGTAAATCTTACGCAAACTCTTTATCTCGATAACTCCTAACGCCGACTCATCAGATGTTGTCATCGTCTATGCTTCCGCACCATGTAGCAGGACGGAAACGATGAGGAACTTGTAGAGTTTGGTTTTCGTTCGTAGGGACTTTACTCAGTCCAAAGTATAACCTATTGGCAATAATAATTCTGGGCTGGAATTCCAGGCAGGCATCGTTGATGGTGTTAATACTGGTTCCTAGATAGACGAAGTTATCTACGACTTCAAAGTTATGACTGTCAACGGTGCCGTGGGATCCAAGTCTCGAGTGCAATGAATGTTTGTTTGATAACAGGCGATATTTCATCTTGTCTCCGTCCACTACCAGACCCATATCCTTCGCTTCCTTATTCAGTTTAGAGAAAGCAGAACTCGCGGCGCGGTTGCTGAGGTCAATAATGTCAATATCATCGGCGTATGCCTGCAGCTGTACACTCTTACAGAAGATTGTACCCTCTCTATTTAGCTCTGCAACTCGTATTATTTTCTCTTTCAACTAATCACACTTAATTTTGTTTGAAATGTCAGCTGAGCTTTTTTTTTCATTTTACAAGCTGAAAATTATATATTTCCAACTTTAAGAAGACTACAGAAGATTTATATATTAAATCTATTGCCAAAATACGAAACAGAATTCCTAACTAAAATCATTCGCGGCCACTTCTACCACCAATGGGCGCCGCCACTCGCCGTAGCTCTGTGCAAAGTCTGTCAAGATGTTAATTACCGATAAGAACCGTTGCAACTAAAGTTGTCCTTGCAACCATTTCAATGCATTGATATCGCAAACCGTTTTGAATTTTTTCTCTGTTTCTTCCTTTGTGCTTATTGCTATTTGCATTTGTTATTGTATTTGTGTTGCTTCTGTTGCTTCTGTTGTTCCTGTTGTTGGCGTCACTATGAGCCTCTTTCATGCGTAAAGTACTTCTTCATCTACTTTATTTTGTATTATTTACATAAAGCGTATCAGAGCAAAGAGACGTCAAAGCCAAATAGTGCAAAAAAAGTAAGCGAGGAGGAAAAAACAAAAACAACAACTAGAACAACAAGAAGAACAAAAAATATTCGCAAAGTGCCTAACAACTTCTGTGGTTACACCAAGAAACAAGGTAGTTTCGAACCCAATGACTATCTGCAGGCTTGGAGATTGTGGGTATTACTGAAGGTGTCAAATTTGCTTCAATGGGTAAACCTATCCGAATATCACTTGGGTCCCACATCCCACCGATGTAATAGGCAATTATTAGGCGACACAGCCGTGCCTGTCATCATCGACTGCATCAGAACCTTCAGCGCCGTCAAATTTTGTTTACAGCAACGGACGATGATAACATCTCTATAAGCTAAGTAAAGTAGAATCGGCGGTGGACAGAGCATGCACATACTACGACGCAACGCTGAAGCACTACCTTTGCGAGTGACCGACTCTTAGCCGATTGAGACGTCATAACTTTCACCATGCTCTCAGCACCAAACTCACCGAGGTGGATACGCATAAATGGAAGAAACTTAAAGAGTTTATAATAACACCGAGCGAACTTTTCGCAGACACTTATTTGGGATACACGGTCGGTGTGGTCGAATCCTCAACCTCCCTCTTTCAACTTGCTTACTCACTTTACTGGTGAGTTTATAACACCCTTTTTCTCACTGCTTGGCGCCAGATACCAAGTAGAGCCAGACCCCTCTCTATCTGGTGGCTATTACATCGAAATCTTTCAAAACTGGAGTATTCGTATCCATCCGGGCCACAGAACCTAGCCAGCGTAGCCGCTGATTCTTGATTCACTGATCTATGTCTATGTCGCCGTATATCCTATACAACTCATCATTCCATCGGCTGCGGTATACACCGTTACCAACTCGTAGAGGACCGTAAATCTTACGCAAACTCTTTATCTCGATAACTCCTAACGCCGACTCATCAGATGTTGTCATCGTCTATGCTTCCGCACCATGTAGCAGGACGGAAACGATGAGGAACTTGTAGAGTTTGGTTTTCGTTCGTAGGGACTTTACTCAGTCCAAAGTATAACCTATTGGCAATAATAATTCTGGGCTGGAATTCCAGGCAGGCATCGTTGATGGTGTTAATACTGGTTCCTAGATAGACGAAGTTATCTACGACTTCAAAGTTATGACTGTCAACGGTGCCGTGGGATCCAAGTCTCGAGTGCAATGAATGTTTGTTTGATAACAGGCGATATTTCATCTTGTCTCCGTCCACTACCAGACCCATATCCTTCGCTTCCTTATTCAGTTTAGAGAAAGCAGAACTCGCGGCGCGGTTGCTGAGGTCAATAATGTCAATATCATCGGCGTATGCCTGCAGCTGTACACTCTTACAGAAGATTGTACCCTCTCTATTTAGCTCTGCAACTCGTATTATTTTCTCTTTCAACTAATCACACTTAATTTTGTTTGAAATGTCAGCTGAGCTTTTTTTTTCATTTTACAAGCTGAAAATTATATATTTCCAACTTTAAGAAGACTACAGAAGATTTATATATTAAATCTATTGCCAAAATACGAAACAGAATTCCTAACTAAAATCATTCGCGGCCACTTCTACCACCAATGGGCGCCGCCACTCGCCGTAGCTCTGTGCAAAGTCTGTCAAGATGTTAATTACCGATAAGAACCGTTGCAACTAAAGTTGTCCTTGCAACCATTTCAATGCATTGATATCGCAAACCGTTTTGAACTTTTTCTCTGTTTCTCCCTTTGTGCTTATTGCTATTTGCATTTGTTATTGTATTTGTGTTGCTTCTGTTGCTTCTGTTGTTCCTGTTGTTGGCGTCACTATGAGCCTCTTTCATGCGTAAAGTACTTCTTCATCTACTTTATTTTGTATTATTTACATAAAGCGTATCAGAGCAAAGATACGTCAAAGCCAAATAGTGCAAAAAAAGTAAGCATGGAAGAAAAAACAAAAACAACAACTAGAACAACAAGAAGAACAAAAAATATTCGCAAAGTGCCTAACAACTCGTTCAAGTTTTCCATTTGATAATATTTCTTTC